GCTTCCCCTCTCGTCGACTGGTTAGAATTCTGGTGCACATGTAATATTGATGTCTGGTGTGAATTGGGTGCAATGTCTATTCTATCATCATACTATATACATTCTCAATATTTTTTTCAAAGTCTTGCACAAAAGTTATGAATTTCTTCTGTTTTTTAATATATTTACTATTTTTAAGTTCATATTTTCAGGCTTTAAATAATCTACAAAAAGTTGATAAGCCTTGAAAAATCAAAGTTCATACATAATACTTAACTACACGATTCAAAAATTCGTTTCATTATATATTTCTTAAGTTCCTCTAGAAACTTAGCATTTGTTTCTTTCTATCTTATTGATAATTGACACATAATCCACAACCTCAATACATCTTTTTCTGCTTGATTCGGTATATCTTTTAAAATTTTCATCACGTTTTTTTCAAAATTTAACTCAAATGACAATTTTATTCAGACGTTCATTTCATTACACTTGCATCAGATGTGAGTGAGCGTTGTTTTTACTTGCCACTGACGTCTGTCCGTAATTTACGTAATTACTACTCTTACTACTACTGAGAAAAAAATAGAACAGTCACTACCTCCGAGATCCTACCTTTTGTATCCAATAATCATTCCACAATCAATCCTACGTGCACTCCATGACAGCTACAGCGACGCAATCACAACTAAGTTACCTCTTTAGCTATTACGTCACACATGTGCCAGACGGCTGAGACTATTTTTATAAGCGGGGGACAGCGAAGCTAGATATTTTACTACAGTCTTTAATGTTTTGATACTTCTCTTATGAAGCAACTTTTCTTTACCGGTGAATACTATAGATATTCCATCGAAGTAACAGCAGTGGTGAAAAATGGTATCCTACGATTTAATTATCCACGAGCACTAGTTCAATAAAGTATCTCTTAGATAACGAAAATAAATGAATAAATAATATTATTAATTTTTCCATTGACATTTCTTTCACTATAATTTCACTTGCCTTTGTATTGTAACTCTCAGACCGTTATTCTACGGCCGATAATATCGGATATCGAATTAATAATAACGATGTTTCAGCCATTAAGTTAAAAAAACAATTATATTCTAAAGTGTTTTTGTTTTTTTTTTCATTCTCTTTCACTCCCACTAGATTCTTGTGTCTTAGTAATATTGAACGTAACTTTAAGCATGATATCTCGGCAAAAATGTTAGCGATAACTTCAACAGTACTAATTACTGTGAGGATATGCATAAACATTAATGTAATAAGACCAGATAAACCAAAAATTCGCACGCTATACTTATTATATAACTCATATTCTGAAAGTTTTACCAACACCGGCTGATTTTTTTTTATCGTGAAAATGTTATTGGGCATATTAAATTATACATAGTATACTATATTGGTCCGCTCTCAATCTTTTTTTAATAAAAGTGAGGCTGAGGAAAACGGATTAATTCAAGATTAGGTATATTTTTGACAATGAATATTTTGTTTTCTATATACATTTATGAATACATTAACCAGTACTTAAGATAAAGAATTAGATAATATGGTGTTCTTTATTAGTAACATATATTAGTAGTCTTCTCACTCGAAATGTTTACTTTGCAGTATTAACTAATACAGAGACACATACCAATATTGTATCGATTTTATTACTGCTATTTAAAGCAAATTCAATAACTATAGTTAATGAATTAAAAATTGCTCGAAAATTAATGCTTAGGGAATAATGATTTATATTAAATGAAATTAAGGAAGAAAAGAGGAGGAAACGAAAAAAGAAATTCAGTGGTTGAAACGAAAGGGGAATGCCTCCCATTTTTTTATTTCGTTTTAACCACTGACTGAAAGACGATAACTGAGAGGAAAGGGATGAATAGTTAATGAAAACACAGGAACAGGGGAAATAAAAGGGAAACAAGAAGCATAAAAAGAACGAAAGAAGGAAGCAAGTAATCTACAGTGTAACCTCACAACAGTAGGAAACTTCCAACACCTTGGCCTACATGTACAAAAAATGTAGGAACAAAAATTTCTTTCCATCTCTAGAAATACCCCCTCTTTGATTTTCGTACTGTAGGCTAATTCTAGTATAAAGATGAGGTGTCGTGTTTGCTCATTGCTTTCAGCAAAATCGAGTATCTTAGCGGGATCATCTCTATATGACATGCAACATCATAAGTGTTTATAAATGTAAATTTCATTTATCTATTTGAACACTAAATTATTAATTTGAAAGGTATTTGCCATTTTTAGCATGACCTTCAACAAACAGCTACAATTTTCAGTTTTTAGCATGTTTCTATTTTTTATTAAATATCAAATATATAGTGTTTCTAGCTGCCTGTATAATGTGTTTTTTTTTGTAGTTTTTTTTTCCGGAAAGCCAATAAGCAAGTCAGTATTTCAGGCCGTATCGACATGGGTGTATTTTTAATGCATGTGATATTTCTTAAATTTATCGACCAGCAGTTGTGTTGAATTACATAAACCATTATTTAAATAATTATTTTATTTATACCGTGAATGTGTTATCAATAATAAATTTGATAAAAATCAAATAACACTGGCCCACTGCTATAAAAAAATGAAAATTCATTTCAATATTGAGAATGTATCCTGTCAAGAATGGTATACGTATTTATTTCTGTTTTATTGAATCTCTCAAACTGCCATGTATTATTATATGGGGCTGAGCAAGAATCGTTGATCAGTATTACGAATAATACAAAAATGGCGACACTTGGCTTATTTTTCACGTCCGAGCAGTCGACCTGACTTTTATATTTCTCGTACATACTGTAATGTATTTTTTTCTTATCTCTGATTTGGGAGTTACTGTTTAAGTCATGTTGGTAGCTATTAGGGATACTTCGACGAGGTATAATGGTTAACAACCTTGTCTCTCTAGGACAATTATGACTGAGTAGTAGGTTCGAACCATCACTGGATGTTCTATACTTTCATTACATACGTTTCATCATCATACTTGTGTCCCAGTTAAGCTACACTCAGAAAATCCCCATGATGGTAGCTCTTACACCTTATGAAGGCAAGAACACTTTCTATAGACACAAACACACACAGTTTCCAGTTTCTACAGTTTCTAGTACATATATATGTAAACCACACACTCACATACATATATGCAGTGCTGCGCAAATATAAGTGAATGCTTATGTAATATTTTAAAAAATTGTCTCTTTTTCCAGATAATCAATAAACCTTAATTAAACTATATATTCATTTTAAAAAAATATTACATGAATTACAACCCTTTCAAATATTTTTATCAGGCTGGAAAAGAAATATTAAGTAAAAATTAAAATGTGCAAGAGTAAGTGAATTCTTATAGTTAATATTTGGTGACTCCTCTTTTGAGGTCACAACGTCGACCAGTCTTTGTTATAATCGTTAAGAAGTTTCTAGCAGTAGTGAGCATCAGTCTTTGACGATTCTTCAATTGCTCAATATTACCTGGGTTTCTTGCTTGTACTGTGTTCTTTAACTTAAACCACAGATTTTCAATTGGGTTTAGATCAGGGTTTTGACTAGGTATTCCAAGACTTCAAATTTCATTTTGCGAATCCATACTTTTTGTGGATTGGTTTTGATGCTTCAGATCCTTGTCTTGCTGGAAGATTCAGCTCAGACCTAAACCCAACTTTCAAACAGAAAATAAGACACTTTCGTTCAAACTTGTTTGGTATCTTAAAGAGTCCATTGTAGCATCAATGCGTACGATTTTGCCTTTTCTAGCTACAGCAAAGCACACCCAAATCATAATGCTTCGGATGTCATGTTTAACTTTAGGCACCAAATTCTTCTCTTCAAAATCTGTATTATGAGTTCGCCAGGTATACCGCCTATCGTTCCTCCCCAAAAGCTTTAGTTTGGTCTCGTCCGATCATAAAACCTTTTGGCTAGAACTTTTCTAGCTTATTACAATGAGATTTGGCATAATTGGACTGAGATTGTTTATGCTTTTTCGTAAGCAGTGGCTTTTTTCGAGGTATTCTGCCATGAAGACCGGCATCGTTCAGATTATGTTGCACTGTAGACGTATTCGCATAGAGCCTAGTGGGAGCCTAAGCGAACCGTAGATGTTACAGAAGGATTCACTGTCTATCTGATCTTGCAGTTATTTTTCGCGGACTGCCACTTCTTGATTGCAATGCCGCCATACTAAAGGCCTTCCATCCATTTATAAATAATATGTCGCACGGTAGAGACATGATAGCTTTTTGTAGCCTTCTCCATCATTATAGGCTTCAACTCAGCCATGTTTAAAGCTTCAGAAAGTTCTTTTACTCATGGCAAATCGTTATTTTTTATTTAGTCTCTAACTGCTCACTTTTGCATACAGAAAGAGCTATGTAGGTTGACTGCAGTAAACACAGCTTATAAAAAATGAACACGTGTCATTTTGATTTTTACATATGCACAAAAAAATTATTTTCACTTGCAACTATGCCGAACAAAAAGACAGAGCGTAAATGTAAGAATTCACATCTTCATTTTTAATTAATATTTTCTTTAGTTGTTGAAAATTTTTTATAGTGGCTGCAATTTGTTTAATAAAGGGTTTTCCTAATGAATATATAGTCTTAGAGTTGTTGATTATCTGGAAAAAAAAGAGATTTTTTTAATATTATCTTAGGCGTTCACTTACTTTTGCGCAGCACTGTATGTACACTGCACCCACATATGTACGCACATCGTACACTACACACATATGTGTACACTACACACCACACACACACATGTAGAGAGAGTGTGTAGACAAAGAGAAAAAATAACTATTGTTTTCAACAAAATAAGAAACACTGACTCGACTATTACTGAAAGATAAGCTATTACAGTCCGTGTAAATAAAAAGCTCAATATTAAGAAATAGTTTTTTATTTTAAATATTACATTTACTCATGCACCACATGTAACGAGCTTGCGCGGAAGCGTCCTCGAACTGCGTGTGTGTGTTGTCGCCGGGCACACCTTGGAGTACCATAATGGACTCGACCGAGGACTACAAGAAGACGCGCGAGTCGTTTGGTGTCTTTTCTTGGGCGACAAAAGCCGTTGCGGTCGGTCGTCCGTCGGCAGCAGTCTTGGGTGCCGTTTTGCTCGTTTGCTGTCGTAAAGTGTTCGTTCGGAAGAGAAGGCGTTCGTTTTTGTATCGCAAGAAGTTGTTTTTTCCCCCGTTTTCTCGCACAAGCTATTTCGGCATTATGGCCTTCGACCCGAAGCTGATACCACTGTTCGACGAAAGCAATTCTGGACAGTCGGTAGTGGAATGGTTGGAGAAGACGGAACTAATATGTCAGTTGAGCGGTGTGAAGCGAATTGAGTGTGTTATCCCGATGCGTTTGTCAGGTGGCGCATATGCTGTGTACCAGCAATTGAGTGAGGAGAAGCGCGCAGACTTCAATTGCGTTAAGAAAGCGTTATACACGGCTTTCGCCTTAGATCCCTTCTCCGCGTGGAAGCAGTTTGCAGCACGTCGCCTTCAGCCAGGAAAGACGGTCGACGTCTTTTTGGCAGAACTGCGCAGATACGCGGTTCTGTTTGGTGGCGTATCAGAAAATTGTTTGCAGCGTGCATTCGTTGCTGGATTGCCTGAGCATGCAATGGGGCTTTTAAGAGCGTCATCCCGGATGGAAGACCTGGATTTGTCACATGTGCTGGCACGAGCTCGCGCTATTTTGAAGAAGTGCACTGGTTCTACGGAGCAGGCCACAGTGGCTGTACAGTTGAAGGAAACATGTACACACGAGGTGCTATAAATGTGATGGACCCTATCATAGGGCGAGCGATTGTCTCCTGGGTCTCGAACCATCCAAAGGTGCTGGTACCAAGCACCGACGGACCATCACTTGCTATCGATGTCATCGGCAAGGGCACATTGCTCGGTGTTGTCCGGGAAACGGGCAAGGGGGGCGAGAATTCCCCACAACCCTGGATAATGGCGCAGCGTTTTGTGGAGAGGTTTGCCGCGTTTGCAAAGATGCGGAATGTACAAATACGATTTCGCTGTGCCCACGTGCCATCGGGGAATGGGATAATTGAGAGATCCCATCGTACAATAAAGCGCATCGCGACAAGAACACGGTGTTCAGTTTTGGAAGCTCTATATTGGCACAATGTTACCCCAAAGGACAATAAAACAGATCCAACTGCACCGGCGAATGCAACCTACACCTACAGGGTCTGCATTAAGGGTATTGACGCAGCTTTGGTGCGTGACGACACAGTTGCCAATCCTTATACGGTAAGGACTGTCTGGGTGAAAAATCCGCACGGAAGGTGTACGAAACAGTTCAACAAGGATACAGTGACACAAATTAATAGTCCACACTCCGTCTCTGTTGATGGAATACCGCACCACATAAAAGATGTGCGTCCAGCGTGCGGGAAGGATTATTCCGTCAGCAACCACGTTAGTTCTTCTTCTTCTTCTGGTTATGATGATGATGATGATGATGATGGTGATGATGCAGCCCTGATGGTATATATAAAATCACAAGAAGAGCACACCTCAGAGAGTAGTGCGCCTGATGAACCTATGTTGGATGAGCTCAGCGAGACGTTTGAAGAGAGCACCACTGAGGAAGCGCTTGAGACCATACCACTGACACGGAGCACCAGGCAAAAACTGCCTGCCCCACATTGCCATTTGTGTGATCTCGCGATCAGGGAGGAGTGTAACGAGCATGCGCGGAAGCGTCCTTGAACTGCGTGTGTGTGTTGTCGCCGGGCACACCTTGGAGTACCATAATGGACTCGACCGAGGACTACAAGAAGAAGCGCGAGTCGTTTGGTGTCTTTTCTTGGGCGACAAAAGCCGTTGCGGTCGGTCGTCCGTCGGCAGCAGTCTTGGGTGCCGTTTTGCTCGTTTGCTGTCGTAAAGTGTTCGTTCGGAAGAGAAGGCGTTCGTTTCAGGTTCGCAAATAGGCGTTCGTTTTTGTGTCGCAAGAAGTTGTTTTTTTCCCGTTTTTTCGCACACCACAATAGCTCATTTATCGCCATAATACTGCATATTCACAGTTATCCTACTAAAACATGTAAATATATACATTTTTAAAATAAAATATAGATAAAATTGTGACAAAAAATTGCTGAGGGCGATGTATTGAATAAAATGCAGCAAAAAATTCAAAATAAAATTAAAATATGTTAGTAGTTCACCCCACAGAAATATAAGAGAGCCCACTGCATTCTGCCGGTTAGCGGAATCACTCGCTAAGGGTCATGAAGAGACATAATAAATTAGAAATAATTAATAGTAAATAAATTAAGATAAAATGTTCAGAAACATATCTTCTGACACCAAGTTTCACAGAAAATATATTAAACTTAATTAGTAAATTAATTTCTGCGAAACTTCTAATCGGGAGATAATTTTTCGGAAAATTGTGTATATATATTGTGTCCATATAATTAAATGGAATTTCGGTATACGCTCCGAAGAAAAACATATCACAGGCTACCATTTCATTAACGAAACCAGTATAACCAGAGAATGTTAAATTGTCTATGTTTTCTTTCCTTTGCACGTATCCCAAAATTTTCAAATATCTTTCATATTAAAAATATAAATTTACTTTTTGTTTCTATTTGTTCTGAAGAGTTCTTCATCACTCCCATGTTTTATCCTGAGTATTCTTGACATCTGTTGGTAGAAGTACATCAATGAAGAGGTTGTCTAGCATTCACTTCCATATAGAAAACTAGCTATATACATAGTAGTGCTGCACACTTTTCTATGTTAACAGAGAAATCATCTTGTCCTAAAAACTCTAATGGCATCGATGCCTCATTGACGTAATTCTATATTAAGCAAAAAAGTCTTCAGTTCCCTGTTCTTTCATATACTCCATTTGTACATAATTTTTATTTAATAAAAATGGTAAATAATTAGAATGTCCCACGTTTTTATCTTAAAATGATATTTGCACATACCTTTTTGACTAGGGTATTTTAAAAATCTTTACATGATTTTACTGCCTCGAAAATATTCACGTAAAAATAAATATCAATCGAGAGAAAAATGTGTTTTAAATTGCGTATGATCTAAAAATAGATCATCCAGATTAAGGGAAATACTGCTTTTTAAACTAATATAAATATATGGATAGCACATGTAACTCAAGGGGAAAATTACATAATCAAAGTGTTAATGGCTGAGTGAATCTGCATAAGCAAAAAATTCGATAAAAAAAGGAAAGAAAATGGAAAGCTGGAAGAAGTAATTATATAGTAAAGGAAAGAAATGACGAACGTATGAAATAAATAATGGATGAATGAATAGTATGAAAGAAACGAAAATATCTTAAGTGTAGAATTCTTTATTTTTTGTGTTTTTCGCTTACTTTTTGTTTTTCTTTTTTTCTCTCTTTTATTTTGGCCTGTGAAATATTCATTATTATCTTTATTATCTCTTAGTTATTTTTCTTTTTAACTTTTTCTCCCTGAAACCATTTTTTGTTCATTGCCTAAACGTTTTCCTGTGTATGTAAGGAGTAGACTGGGGCCATAATGTGGCGTCAACCCATCTTGTGTGTCCCACAGAACGGTGCATATTTCGAGGTACGATGACTAATTTTGAATCGATTTTGTCCAAAGGAACAAGAAGGCATCGGAAGAAAAATATATATAAGCTGGAAGAAAACAATGCCATTGAGTTTGCCCCAAACCTACCCTCCTTACCATTCTCTTCCGCACTCTCACACGTAAAGGCGGAACACCCAAGCTTCCGGTGGAGACGACTATGCAAGTAACCACACGAAAATAAAACGAACGTGCCAAGAGAACGCGAGACATTTCTTTTATTTCGATTTACTTCTACCCGTTTTTCTTTTACCACCATATATATATATATATATATATATATATATATATATATATATATACAGAGAGAGAGAGACGAAGAGATATGAATTTATATATATAATATATCGATATGAATTTAAATAGATATAGATACGTAGATATAGATATGAATATATATGTATATAGATATGGATATAGATAGATATAGCTATGTACATATAGATATAAATATAGATATATAGATATAGATGTGAATATAAATATACAGATATAGATATGAATATGTAAAGAGAGATAGATAGACAGATAGATAGACAGATATTCACATAACTATAGATATGAATTTATAGATAGATAGAAAGATATGAAAATAGATATAGATTTTAAAATAGATGACGATGGATATGAAAGTAGATATTGTCATAATAATAGTTAGATATAGATATGAAAAATAAATAAATGAAAAATAGATATAGATATGAAAATAGATATGAAGATTGATATCAAAAGGATATCAAAATAGACATATACAGGAAAATAGATATGAAGAAGGATATGAAAAGATAGATAAATAGATAGATAGATAGATAGATAGATAGATAGATAGATAGATAGATAGATCCCGCATTTCGTATCTTTGTATTTATTCATTTGTACAAGTTCTATATTCTTTTTTCAATGTATTTTCTCGTCTGCGTTCCCTGAACCTTCAAAAATGACATTTATTTTAGATATAATAGAATTAGGACTAAAGTTCGGCCAAAACTAAGAAAAGAAAATAAACATCCACCATTTAGCGAATAAATTTCCTCTGTTAAAGAACAGAACTGACACTTTGACTTTTGACAATTCCAGATAATACTAAGGGACATCGTACTTTACTGCTCCATACACAAATTTATGCATGCAAATGTTTTCATGACAAAATAAAAAAAATACTTTTTTTCACTTATTAGGTTTTATAATATAATCAGTAACATTTGTAAATAAAGTCAGTTAATTTACCTAAAAGTCAAATTATTCATGCGTCTCTTGGTTTATACTTTGTCTGATGGTTAACAAGTTCATCATTCTAAATTAATTTGATGGAGTCGTGAGTTCGATCTTTACTAGTTTCCACCGTTGTGAATTTATAATGTTAGGTAGGATTTTTGCTCATTTTTTTTTCTTTTCCAATTTTCTTGTTTTTACTTTTTGTATTTTTATTTTGTTTGTAATGTTCACCCGATATAAGGCTCAAGATCCACCCAAGTTTGAAGGTTACTGAGTATGGTGTGTGATGGGAAAGTATGAATTGATGATTATGAGCTTATGGGGGATAAATATCGATTTTGGTGAAATTTAAAGGTTAAGATTCTAATGTTCGAGGAAGCAACCACGCGGAAATCTGTTCCACAGTAGCTGTTCCTGGCAAGATATTTTGCAAGTGGAACGTCCCTTTTGCCCAAAGGAATACGTAGGAAATGCAGGTAATTAAACCCTATGGATGTGGCTAGATGGGTATTATCTGTAATTCATCTTATTTGTTATTTCATTCATTTCCTTCACTTTTCAACATTCATCGAGTTTTACTTTTATTATTCGATTTTTATCCTGTCATATTTTCTATTTATCTATTCTTGACTTCTTCCTTTCTTTTTATACTTCTTTTCGTCATTCTTTTATTGTATTCCAGATTTTCCCAAAACCGCGCAGAGTTATGCACTGTTCTGACCCGAGATGAAATCCAGTGCGTCGCGAAAAGAACAAAATTATATTTCAAAATGTAAAATATACAAACTGAAAATCGTATTGAAATTCATATACAATTGTCAGCTACAGCTGGAGAAATCGTTTGGTTCCCATTTTCAGTTTTGTTAGGTTCTGAAAACAGTTTGAACAGTGTCTGGGTATAATGGGACCACAGTTTCGTAATTGGCCATCGGAGGTTTATGTAAAAAAATGTACCAAAGTATTTTTCAATGCTCTAGAAAAATTTTAGGAACCACTGATTTTTTTTAATTCTTTGCTTTCGTCTCATTCTTAATCTATCTTTTTAATAATTCCTTTTCATTCTATTTTTTAGACTTTTTTGCTTCAACCTTATTTTTCTCTTCATCCTTTCTTTCTCGTTTTATTGATCTTTGAGGGTATTTCTTTTTATTTTTCATCTCGATGTTTCTATTTGAAGTCAATAAGAAAGCTACATACAGAACGTTTGTTTGCGAAGGGCATTTTTATCTCTAACTTTATCTCATTCTGTCTCTCATATATATATATATATATATAGATAGATAGATAGATAGATAGATAGATAGATAGATAGATAGATAGATAGATAGATAGATAGATAGATAGATAGATATATGTATATTGATAATATTAGTGGTTAAGATACACATATATATATATATATATATATATATAATATATATATATATATATATATATATAAAATATATAAATACATACATATATATACATAAATATATATATATATATATATATATATATATATATAAAATATATAAATACATACATATATATACATAAACATACATATATATATATATATATATATATATATATATAAAATTCAAGAGGATAGAATCCAGGTAGGACTCAACGTCCAGGACAGAGTAAGAATATAATATATATATATATATATATATATATATATATATATATATATATATATATATATATATATATATATATATATATATATATCTGAACATATTCAATAATGTTTGGTAAGTTGCTTTATATTAACAAAATTAACATAGTCCCATATCAAAAGTGGGGTCAGTTTTCCTATGAAACAAATGCACCTTTATTATTTCTTTACTTAAGATGAGTGTGTGCATGGATGTGTGTGGGGGGGGTGCGGTGTGCGTGTGTGTGCGTGCCGTCATTGTTGAT